CCACTGTTTGTTTCTGAAACTGGTTAATGTTGACAACTAATGTTAGCTGGCCCATAATTGTCTTTATACTTACAGCTGCAAGCAGCCTGGTTGGCAACTAGCTAAGCTAAAGACTTCACGTGAGCATACAAACATCAGCAGCAGCTGTCTGGAGTGGACTACGTTAACTTTAATTGGACTTTGCATAACAAGCAAACTCGGTTCTCCTTTGGGAAAGAAAGCAGTCAACAGCTGCCTCCCCTCATTCTGCCTTCTTTCTTTTTCTTTCCTCTCTTTCTTCTCTTGATACCCCGATTTATGCTTTTTGGGCAGCATGATGTCTAGTCCCCAGGTCATTCAATCTGGGCTCACTGACGTTACACTTGTCGCCGGTCGCTGTCGGGCGGACTAAACCATTTTGTGCCTCCAAGAGGGGGCCCCCAGAATGTCCAATATGTGGGAGGACTGTGACATAAAGTTCATTCTCTCAGTTGATGTTATCAGTATATTTGAAATAAATTATGACACCAATTAATTGGAGGGCCCAATTCATTCGAAATAAAAACATCACAAAAAAAAAAAAAAAAAAATCAGGATTTTCATGGGCCCCTCTCCCTACTTGGGCCCTGGGTAGTCAGGTCCACTTTTCCCCCTACTACCACGCCCATGCTTGAGAGACACAAAATCGCCAACGCCAGTTCTGTTCTTCCCTTGTGTCCACCAGGAGACAAAATAAGTTATGTTTTACGTTACAATAAACTCTACTAAAAGTAGATCTGGAATGAAAGACTTAAAAAAATCTTCATTCTAACTAAAGTTGAGTTTTATTGGCATGTTGGAGTATTTACTGGGTCTTTCTCAAATCCTAGAAATCCCATTAAACATGATGTCAGATAAGGTCTGTCAGAATTCTTCCTGCACCTCCTCCATCGAAGCATCTTTATTTCCCGTATTTAAAGTCCGGCTGCATCTTTTCACACTTTCCCATGAACATGATGTTTTAATTAACAGGGAGCACATTCTTCATGCTCGTGTCGGTCGTGTCTCTTTTAATGATGTCACAAAGGTCATGATTTCATACGTGCAGGTCAGCAGGTTAATCCATGTTAGTTTAGAGAGACATCGGTATGTCAGCTTGAACTCTCCCACACACACACACACACACACACACACATCCACCTCTTCAGTGTCAGAGTGCTGTTCCATGTTATGAGTCTCTTCTATGTGTGTGTGTGTGTGTGTGTGTGTGTGTGTGTGTGTGTGTGATTTTCCACTGCTCTGTTCTGCTCTGCCTGGCACAGCAGTGGAATCCCCTCATTAAAACCAGATGTGTAAAAAAAAAAAAAAAAAAAGCCAACAGGCGTTCATGCTAACACACACACACACACACACACACACACACACACACACGAAAGCATTCATGTATGCAACTGGCATGCAGTGATGCTTCTACAGTTTGTTTGATGATAGACACACACTAATATGTGCCAGTGCAGTCATGAGCATTCTTATGACTGACCATAAATGTCTCATTAGTGTGTCCTCTCAGGAGTGTGTGTGTGTGTGTGTGTGTGTGTGTGTGTTCAGCCTGTGCTTCACTGACATCTCTTTTACGCTCCTGTTGCACCTGTTAAAGTGAGTCAGTTTACACTTTTGTCATTCTTTTAGTTTGTTGAGCTTTGTGAGCTTACAGCCAGCCTACGTTCAACCATTGTCAACTTGGGCAGAGGACTAATTAGCAGAAATAATTAAAACTACCTATGTAAGTGTGCTGAGTCATCAATGTTTAATTTCAGATGTTACACCACCGCCTGCTTCCCAGTAAATTCAGCTCCCTAGCTGCCACTTGTACTAGTATTTAGGTGCACGTGGAATTTAAAATAAGTGTCTCTCTCCAGATACGTTCATGTTAGTTTTTATCTTTAATGATAAATTGATAGTTTAGATGTTTTGAGGTGGGGTTGCAAAGTAAAACTACTGTTTTTGTCAAAGGAGCCTGATGGCTTTAGAGAGAGCATAAATAGTGGCTTTGGTTCCCTGTCAAGGTAATGTGGTGAAAATGTTCTCAATAAAGTGTACGCTACACTTAAACTGATACTGATGTTTTTTAGATGGGCCTTTTTTAAAGTGCCAAAAATATGTTTTGCTGCCCCTGTCCACAGCAGTACATTGCCTGCTTCTCCAAACTGGGGGCATGCCGACTGCCATTTACTGTAGGTGACACACATAAGGGGCAACCTCCACGGCTGAAAAACATAGAAGTGCCAAAGACTGCATCTCCTCTAATGACCACTTGAGGCTGGCTACAGCGGCAAGTCAGTCCCCATAGACCTCTATGTTAAAATGTCCAACTTTACAGCAAAAATAAAAATACAGTTTTGATCTCTATAGCTAATTTCAACATTCATGACAACTGTACGGGGGCTGTATTTTTATACAACTCACCTGTTTACGTTTGATTAAGCCTTAATGTTATGCATATATAAGGGGGGGCACTTGAGTGACAGGCTGTCTGCGAAGTGTCACTACAGTCTTTGAGTCAGATCCACCTCTTGCTCCTCCACAGCTCCACCCTCTTATCCAAATATGGTCACTTCTGGCTGCAAAAGAACAAAATGGCAATGGCTGAAATGCCAAATTAGAGGCTTCAAAACAGCAGTGCACAAACTAATGGGTGACATTATTGTAGCTACGTCCATTATTTATACAATCTGGGATACTCTCAGCCAGAAGGAGGAAACTGGTTAAATGTTAAAAAGGCAATCAAATTTGTTGAATTCCACAAACCAGTAGGTCAGTCAAACATACGCAGGTCAATGATCACCAAATGATAAAAAAACTAGCAGCACAGGCAGCAAAAGCATTTCCACAAACCAATGGGTGTTACTTTGATAGCTATGTCCATTCATTTGCACAGTTTTTGCTCCAAACGATGAAACTCCACAGAGCTTTTTAGCCTCTTTTGGCTCATTGTTTTGGTTTAATGGCACGTTCTCAATAACCTGCACCAAAGGCAGAATAACAGTTGGTGACACGCTGGTAAAGAAAATGGAAAATCCAGCTGCTGAGGAGCCAGATAGTTTACTCAGGAGTTTAGAGATGAAAAACTTGAGCTGAAAGGACAGTGACTTCTGAATTTCCATTAGTCAGTGGACAGAAACATGACTCCACATGATTGCTAATGTTGCTCTGTGACTGGTAGATGTCTAAAATAGGCAACGGTTGGCAACTGTTTGCCAAAATGTTGTGAAACCTACAAAAACTGATTTTTTTTTGTCACTTGGGGTCAGTACAAACAAGCTGTAAACAGAACACCAACATACCACAACAACACCAACACCAACATCATCACCTTCCAAGTTGAATTTGTTCGTTAATACTTGCTTAATTCAGCACATCAGCATGTACTTTACTGTTTCAATAGAGGGTTAAAATCTCTTCTCTACTTCAAGAGAAGGAAAATCACATCATTGAGGAAATAAAGAAGCTCAGAAATCTGATGACGTTGGAAGGCTGATGACCACAGAATGTTCATCCACGGCCAGATTCTCCCTGCTGACAAGCTGGTTGACCACCTTTCACCGGTGGTTCTGCTCGATGGGAAATGAGTGAACTTCTGATGACTTGTATCATGTTGCTGGCACTGTAGGCCCAGGGTGGAGGATCGAGTAAGGAAGAAAGAAATTTAGTTTTGGTAGTTTTTCTCTGTCAGAATTGTAAACACATGTTGTACTTGAATCACTAACAGAAGCACTAAACTGTCCAACTCTGATGTGTCAGGCATATGTGACTAGGGTTTATTACAGGCCGTCTGAGGAGAGGTGGAAAAAGTCGAGAGTCTCAGCTCAAGTCTTGCTTCTTTAATTACCCAAATCCAAAGTATCATAGTGAATGTTATGATTTTGTGCGTGCTTGAAGTTCTTTCCAAATGAATAAGTGATGCATTGTTGCTGTTTTTGATCCTTGCTTGTGAGATGTAATTTTCATACCTTCCTCCCAAACACTCTGCGGCTGCTTTGAACTCAATCAAACTCCAGTGTTTGGGGAAAAAGGACACTGAATGTGTAAATGGTTGAAATGAGTCATGCACATAAAAAATGATGCATTCGGGGCCTGATACTACCCCCTTTGTTCTCACAATGCTGCTGTTGTTATCCAGCAGTAAATTAAACATTCCTCAGTGATATTGAGTATTTAAACTCTGACAGAACGCAGCGCAGATCAAAGTCGAGCCCACGTGGATTCATTGTTTCTGTTGTTGTGGAAAAAATATATATGTAATGCTCCACAATTAAAGCTTTAAAAGCATAATTGTGTTGTGTGCCCTGTAATCCAGACACAGCATCACCATCATCATGTCATCATGTCACACTGTAACCTTGAGCGGAGAATTAATTACCTCTGTGAGAATTCAGCTGCAGCTTTTTCCAGCGCGCAGCATTGAGAAGAGGAAGAGTGTGGTTGACAATGGCAGGAAAGGGAAACTTGTAAAGAGAAGTTTGGCTGCAGCCACGACGTTAGCGGTCAGGACAGCGCAGTGGTAGTGGGAAATGATTTGCACATTTGCACAAATAGACAGTGCAGACTTATCCTTGACAAAATAAAACATTTTGATGCCATGCAGATACACTGTAAATGCAACTTTCTGATTTATGAAGCCGGGAGGTATTTCTATGTTCGTCAAGATCACAATGTTCCAGAGTTTGAACTGTACATCATCCTGTTTCAAAAGCAGTGAGAACACAATAATACACTGTTTTCTGAAATAAAATCTTCAAAATACTGTGTATAATATGAATTTTAAGTACATGCATCATCAGCTAATTCAACAACCTGCTAAATTCACTCTCTCCAGGACCACTTACACTCAGCTTTACAACATGCTGAGGTCACACTACATGTACTTAAAGCGGGGGTGGGCAGTTTAATTTTGGCATCACAGGGTCACATTCCCATAATACACTTTGTGCCTATTGTAATTCAAGTGGTCTGAGAAAACTAGACTTCTGCACCTCCACCTCTGTTTTTGAGCTTTAGAAAATCTAGGCTGTGACCGAAGACTTGGGCCAATCACAGATCATTTCAGAGAGAGTGTTCCTGTTGGCTGTTCTAAAAATGCAGATGCACGTTCAATGCAATTCAATGGTGGAGAATCCTGCAGAGAAAGTTTATATTCCAGTGTTGACAACAGCTGTCTGCACTGCCAAGCATCCCAAAAACAGGAAGACGGACTTATCAAAAAAAGTCTGACAATAAAATGGTACAGTAGACCCACTGTAACATCTTGAGGGAGGGTTGCATTTGCCGCTCTCTTCCCATGGCAGGGAGCGAGGAGGAGGAGGGACAGTTGGGTCGCTAGCAGCTAATTTTTGTCTCATTTGTGGTCAAATAAACAGGAAAAGAGTGTGGCGAGGAGGGACCAGACGAATGTGCTGCAACTGTACACTGAAATGAGATTAAATTAATCAATGTATGGGAAACACTGGGTTACTTTTTTATCTGTTTTAACCTTTCTCTATGAAGCACTTTGTGTTTTTGTGCTATGTAAATAAAGTTGAGTACTGTATGAAGCGTGTGTATATGCCCGTGGTCATCTGGTGGGAGGGGCTTAGGACAGAGAAGCGAGAGCCATCTTTTTTTGTTGTTGCTGTTTGCCTTTTTCAGATTACTAGTTACCACAGCCATAATGGCCGAGCTCATTTCAACATGTACCTTCAGTCTAAGGAACTTTAGGGGAACTCTGAGCTCATGAAACTCAGCGTAAGTTCAATCAGGAAGACCTTCCTGTGCTCATTCCCTGTGCTGTCATTCTAGGCAGAATCACCGCCCCTCCTCCACCCCGTTCACCTCCAGCCGTCGTACCCAAGGTCATAGACAAGCCTGAAGACTCATACCTCTACTCATCCAGATCATTGGCACCCATCCATCTAATCCTCATCTCTTCTTCACTTCCTCGACCACCACCAGTGTCTAGACCCCAGGGGAGTTCCCTAATTGTTTACAGATCCATCACCCTCCTTAAAGCTCACCATCTCAAAAGGGTTTAATCGCCAAAGACTTTTCTCATTTTCACATTTTCATAATTATGTGCACTTGTTATTAAAACATCTTCTTTTTCAAAACTAAAAATGAGTCTCTTCTGATTGAACTAAGTTCAGCCATAGCTAGGGGTTCGGTTCAGTGAGGAGTGATCACAGCAGGGCACCTGTGGTAAAAACAATGCAGAGGTCTGTATTCATATTTCAGGTGGCTCTAAACACAGCTTGTCCAACTGAAACAAATACTGCCATCTGTACAGGAGAGTCATTAACTGTTGAACTTATCATGAAATGCAAACAGTAACCAGGAGACACACGGGCAATATGAAGCGCAGTTAGGTCAATAAAATACTGCTGAACACAGAGAGAATCTGTTGCTGTCAACACAATGCACTATGTAAATATTTCAGGATGAAAATCAGTCATTACTTCTGCCTCAACGTTCATGAAGCTCAGAGACCAACAAACAGTCGACTGCCCCACTGGTGGCCCTGCTCATCACATTGGAAACATGGCTGGATGGATGAAATATGGAGACACACCTTTGCTTTTCTTAAACATACAAAAAAATACAGCAAGTATGATCACAAAGAATATCTTTATGCTTCCTTCATTCACAACTCCCTCTTATCTACGTCAATCCCCCGCCTTCTCCTAACCACTACGATACGATCTCTATCAGCCAATCATGTGCCTGCTGTCAATGTTGGCAGTGCCTGATGTGACGAACATGGAAATATAGTTTGCTAGTAAATACTGTTAAAATAGTATTGGTTTATTTCCATTTTCTTACATGTCATCTGACTCACTGCCAGTCAGCAGCATCTCTCATGTGGGGCAGTTTGTATTGCGACATTGGGGGTCAAAGTTCACAAAAGTTGAACTCCATGCGATGCAAAGATGTGCTTTGCCACTGTAAGCTAATGCTTTATTCGCCCCTCTGCTCACATTGAATGGAAGTGCACCAGAGGTGAATGTTCAGGCTGTTTCCATATGTTTTCCTACGAAAAGCAATGCACCCAAACTCATACATATTCAACGTATTTTGAGTGATTGCAATCACGTGACCAATGTTGGCAGCAGTAAACAAGGAAGCAGTCCCGAGCACTTGTAAGGAGGCAGGTTGGGGTGGTTGGGTCACAAAAACACAGACTGTTGCCGGGGACCTTCCCCTGGAGTCATGTGTTCGGCTCTGTGTGAACTCTGAGTGAACACTGAGTCATTTTAAGGTACGTTCTCACCATATTTCCTTTCCTAAACGTAACTACAGTAATTTCTATTGCCTAAACCTAACCTCTGTACCTTTATTTAAGTTATGTAGCTGTACGTTAAGGACATATCATCGTTTGTGGAGCGCAAATTCACAGGATATCACATGAACCTTTTGATGAGAATGCGTTGGAATATTAACCAGAGTTACTCTTGCACATGGTTGACCGTACCCTAAATCTGTTCTTGTCTCTCCTGTTCCTGTCCCTTTTCATTTCATCACCATTGCATTGCAGGTTTTCTGTATTCTACTACGGCTTCACCACCAGCCCCTAGAATATATGACATCACGA